AGGGTGCTGGGTGGCTCAGTCAGTTATGCGTCCAACTCTTGATTTCAGCTCAGGTCATTATCTCAGGGTCCTGAGATTGAGCCCGGTGAGGGCCCAAAGCTCACATGGAGTCTGCCTGAGATTCTCTCTCTCTCCCCTTCTCTCTGCCCCTCCTCCCCACTTAGGTTCTCCCTCTCTCTCTCTCTCTCTCTCAAAAAAGAAAAAAAAAATTAGAAAAAAATAAATGAAAGTAATACCCAATGTATTATGTGGCTTGTAACTTATTAGTGTAAGTATAGATATAGTGGAATGGAATAGAGAATCTAGAAATACATCCACACATATATATTTCAATAACTTTAGACAAAATTGCAAAGAATATTCACTGGGAAAATGACATTTTTTAACATAAAACTCAGAAACAGTTGGAAATCCTTAGGCAAAAACAAACAAAAAACCTTTCCTTATGTTTACCTCACACATCTATAAAAATTAATTTAAAATGGATCATAGATCTCAATATACAAGCTAAGAGAAAGAAGCAAACAAACAAATGTCTAGATGACAACATAGGAGAAAACTTCTGTTATCTTGGGTTAGGCATATATTTCTTAGAATACAAGAAGTAGGAACCAAAAGAAGAAAATAAATGATACATAAGACATCATCAAAATCAAAAACATCCATTAAAGTTTTCAGGAGACACTAGTCAGAAGACACTATTAAAAAAATGAAAAGGCAAGTCATTCAAACACAATTTGAAAAGCTAGACAGAATACATTTATTAAAAACACTTGAGGGGCACCTGGGGGCTCAGTGGGTTAAGCCTCTGCCTTCGGCTCAGGTCATGGTCTCAGGGTCCTGGGATCGAGCCCCGCATCAGGCTCAAACACCTGAGATCAGGTTGTGACTTTTAATCTTGAGAGACTTTCAGATTCAAATAGGTGACAATGCTGGTGGTGGGTAGAGATGGGTTTTAGAGACTGGGGCATAAAGTTGATAGTTGAAGATATCGAGAAATGAGTTTTATCACCAATAGAAAAAAAATGCTTTCAAGGTAGTTGTTTAAGATTCTTTAGGATCCACTTACTATATTTTAAAGGAGCCTGGAATGAGGAGTCAAGAAAGGAAATTGAAAAGATCATTCAAGAAAGAGGAGCATGGAGCATAAATAGAAAAGTGCACTTCACAGTTTACAATGAACTACCATGAGGGTTTCACAAATAGCCATTGTAATTTTGTGCAAACTAGGGAAAAGTGATTATGTCATTTAGCCAAGGTCAAATGAATAATTCGTATGATCTGCCCAGATGTCAAGTAACTCTCCTGAAGGTTCAATGTTCTTTTCTTTGGGGAATGTTGAACACATATTAATGTACTAATTCCCATGTATAGCACTATTGTCCTATGAAATAATTAAAGCTTATCAAACCAGAAGTGCCTAGATGGCTCAGTTGTTGAGCAACTGACTCTTGGTTTTGGCTCAACTCATGACCTCACTGGTCCTGGGATCCAGCAGTGTAGGGCTTCCCCACTCACTGGGGAGTCTGCTTGAGAGATTCTTTCCTTCTGCCCCTATCCCCTCAATTAAATGAATAAGTCTCTAAAAAATGAAAATAACCAGACTTATTGTGGTAATAATTTTGCAGTATATCTAAATGTTGAATCCTTATACTGTACACATGAAACTGATAATACTGTATATAAATTATACCTCAATAATAAAAAAGAAATCAAATGGTATCAGAGAGGGACCGATGTAGCTGATGAAAACAGATGAAGCTAACTGGGTGCAGAACAATAGGGAGTGGTAGGGTCTGGAAAAAAAATAAACAGGATTCTTTTTTGCCATATACATGGCTACTGTAATAATAATCAACCGTTTATGTCATGGGCTACTTCTGTATTGCAGGTGGGATTAGGCATTACTTTGAATTTTTTCAGTTGAAAAAGAAGATTCTAAATAGAACGATATTTTGCGTAATTTGTTGAGATCTCTAGTTTAAAAGGGTGGTTTTAAATAAACATATTCTTAGCTATTCCTCTGCCATTGATATTTAGGAACCTAGGAAATTCACCCCCAGGAGAGGTAATTTTACTGGTTTTACACTTACAAATAATTCTGTATGTTACTTTGAAGAATACTTGTATAAAAATATGAATTGGAAAAATGTCAGTAAGGCAAGAAAACATTTCATTTTTAAGATAACATTTCTCTTTTAATATCAAACAAAATGATCTACCTTAGGTTCAGAGATTATGCTTTTTTTTAACTATATTATTAAACTATTTTAAATAAATTGTTTTTCCTACCCTTAGGATAACATTTAGACAGCCCTTTTCTTTCCTTTAATAAAGCAGTGTGAGCTGAGTCAGAAAAGGAAAACGTTTTCAATACTTTGAGCCAATGGGCAACTCAGAGACACAGTCACATCTTTCTTAGGATTTTAACTTCCCTAATATCATCTCAGTTGCAAGAACAGCAACATTCAGATGTATGGGAATTAAGTGATTACATTAATCTCTTCAAGCTAATTTATTTTGACTGCAAAACATCAGGGTCTACATTGGTCTACATTTACTAAGTACTGCTGGTCAAGAAAATTTGTAGATCATGTGGTTATAGCAATGGAATATTTAGCTATTTTCTAAAAAAGTACAATTCTGTGCAAAGGATCTTGGTGATTCAGAAAGTTTCCAAAGAATCAAATCAATTTTTCAATGTAGACACAAAGTGTTTCTCTAAGATTTTTTGTGTTCATTCAGCTACCCTCAAGAAAATTCTGGTTTGAAAAACTGCAAGAATATGGTGTATTATCTTTGATGTCTTTGGTGATAAATCAACCCAAATGAGATTTGAATAAGTGAAGTGGAATCTCTGTGCATGCATGCAATGGGAAGAAAATGATGGCAATTATAAGAACTGTAGATTTCATTGGGTGTGAATAGATATTCAGCTCCATAGTAATTAGGTGACTGTTATGGAGACTGGAGCTGTAGTAGCAGGAATTCAAAGAAGGCAAGCTGTTTTGCTCTAAAAATAAACCAAAAGAATTTATTGAAACTATCAATAAAGAAATAGTTTAGTTAAGCTGAATGGAAGTAAATTTGCATTTTAAAAATATTTAAATTCACATTGATGGATCCATCCATGGTGTATAAAAATTATGTAAATAACATGTTTCCCCATTTTTGCTTTAACTATACTGCCTTGTCTGAGTACTGTCTAGCTAAATTTTTCATCAGTATTTTTTTGGTAATTTTCATTCTCATTTTAACACTTCATTGTGAACATCAATTAACACTTCTCTTTGTGCCTTTTTGGTATAAGCTGCCTTTTTCTTTTGTTTTCCTAATTTATTACCAAAATATTTTTCAACCTTTTATTTTTGTATATTCTTTTCTTAAATATCTCGTCTGCTTACCTTCAGAGTGCTCTCAATATGACCAATAGATTAAAAGAGTATTTAAAAACATCCAGTAAAGTTTAACAGTGAAGACAGTTACATTGGCAATTGCAGACACGATTAATTATAAGAGTGGATAGATATCCAAAGCAGTCAGGAGGTTGGGGTTTAGAAAGAAGGGGGAGGACAGAAGCATGCAGGTGATGGTGGGTGGGTAGGTGGTGTGGAGTAAGGAGAAAAGCTACTGAATTTGTTAGAAAACTCGGGCTCTATTCCATTTGTATTACCAGTAAGCAGTCTGTTCCAGGACAGCGCACCACTCTTGCTTCTTAGTTTCCTTCTCTGGTTAATGAAGAGGTCTGACTTTAAGGTCTCTTCCAGCTCTGGAACTTCGTGATCGATTGCAAAGGCTTAACTGTGTAGATATAACATAGTCTTATTAGGAAGTTGTTTTGCGTGGGGTTTAGCTGGTTTTCTTGAATTGCTGACACTCACAACAGGGGTTTTTTAGGGATAATTTAGTAACCATTACTTAGACGTGGCACTGTTGACTGCACATTGAGAATGCTTCAATAAAGGATTACCTTGAGTTACAGCAGTGGTGAAGTCAGCATTACATCCAAGTATCTCATTAAATGGTGATGGTATCAACTAGTATTCAATATTATGCTTTGAGTTTTCAAAATAATGCTTTGAGTTAAAGGGCTCCTTCCTAACAGATTACCAGGTGTGAATGTATTAGTAATATGAGTCAATGCTTGAGTTACTTCTCTATGCTTTAACTGAGTAAACTATTAGACCACGTGCACGTTAAGCATAGTACAGAAAATCAATTACGACCTCCTCCAGTAGAGTAGGGTGAAGCTATTAAACATTTCATCAGGAAATTGCAAAGTACTACTGTCAAGTTCTTTATTGTTGGGAAGCCGTCATTTCTATAGTACTTACTAAGTATTTACCACCAGGTTGCAAAAATCTGCCATGGCAAGTTTCACAGCAGCCTCATTCACACCGAGCATTACTGGAAACATTTGGTGGAGGAAGACAGTTTAGGGAGTGATAATAAGGAATAAAAACCAAATATTTTCATGGGAATACTGCCTGTGCTATCTCTACTGTTAAAATCTACCCATGATGCTAAGAAGCAAAAAAGTTTTCTGAGTCTATTTTCAGATGTATCATCCTTTCTTTAGCCTTTCTTTCTGCTTAAAATACAGAATATACACAGTCTCATCACATTTTCTTTTAAGGTGCATTTGGAATTACTTGAAAAGTGTAGCAGGTAGATGGTGTTCCAATGATGATCTCTAGTGAAATTCATCTTCAAAGACAGAATTTGGAACTAAAAGAGAGGGGGCTGAGGAGACAGCTGCTGTTTATAGAGCCCACAGACCCGAAGCTTTAGCTTTCAGAACAGGAGGACTCAAGGCCTTGGCAGCATCCCAAAACTCAACTATTTTCACTGATTGGTATGAATCATTTTCTCTCTCTGTTGCCTGTACTTTTTCCACCAGGCGCACCACATATGTGCAACAAATCTGCTGTTGACCTTTTCATAGCTTTATGCTGGGATGCCTACCACAGTGTTTCTAATCCTTGTCAATTTCTTTCCAGACAGAGCTTTTTGTACATGCCTTCAAGGATCAGCTGGTCCGAAGTGCTCTTTTGGCCCTCTACACTGCCAGACCAGGAGGTGTCCTTAAGAAACCACCGTCTCCTAAGAACAGCACAGAGGAGAGCTGTCCCCAGGACCCACCCCCGCCGACGAGAAGGCAGGACTCCATACCACATCATTCAGACTATGATGAGGAAGAGTGGGTAAGTGTCATGCACATCGCTTGCCTCCTCAGGTTTAGGCCTGGAAGCTAGAGCAAGAAAGATGAGCATCTCTGCTTTTCATCAAAACAAGTTGGAAAGTAGTCATAATAGAGATTGTGGATAAGTAGGCCACATTTTTTTCCTTGGTGGCAAATTATGAATGCAAGTTTTATTCCTGATCACATTCATTTAGCATAAAAATTTACATATATATATAACCTAAATGTCATAAAAGCAAAGATGCCATAATTATACAATTCTATAGCACTTTTCTGTATTTATTGCCAAGGTAATATAAACCATTAAAATGGTGTCTTTTTAGGAAAAGAGTAAAAAAATCACTGATAATCCACTACTTGTTGCAAATATTTTCTTGTTGCAATCCAGTGTTTCAGCTCTAGACATCCTTCAAGAAGTATGAGCATTTAAATGTCAGTGGACGCAGAGATCTCTTAAATCCTTCCTGTTCATGATTCTATTATTTAAAGGAAGATGTTGCTCCAGGTTCTCTAAAATTGGCCAAAGGATGGTTACATAAAAGCCTCTGAAAATAGCTAGTAAAAGCCAAAAAAAAAAAAAAAAATCAACACACACACACACACACACACACACACACACACACACAAGCCAGCATGGTAATAAGAACTCTAGTGGGACAGAACAAGAGAAACATGAAGGTCCTGGGCAAAGGGGAACAGTGTTATTCCTGAATAAACACATATTGATTATCCAGGAAATCCCCAAAGTACGCACACCTCACACCCAGAGAGGAAGCTGTTTGCTGTATCTTGAGTTTAACCAAGAAAATAGTATTCCAGCCATATAGATGGTAAATAGTTAATGATTACTTTTCCTGCCACCCTAGGATTTAAGAGCATTCAGGGAGTAAATTATTTGAAAGGCCCGGCTCTCTCAAAAAAATTGCTGTCTGAAGGGCTATGAAGTGATGCCTGCTCTTCCTTTTGATAAAATTTCTATCACAGGAAAGACAGAGCTGGGTTCCAAGAGGTAAATGCTGAATAAGTATTTGTTGCTGCTGATTAAGATTGCGTTTCTCCCACTGAAGCATTTTCAAAAGAGCAAATCTAATATTTCTCCTTTTTACCTTCACCTTCTTCTTCAATTTATTCACAGCTCCAAGGAGTATGTACCTCTTAACCTCTCTGAAGTTCAATTTTCTCAACTATAAAGTGAAAATAACAGCCCCTGCTCTGTTTAGCTCTTCAGGTGGTCATGAGATAAATGACTTACCTGAGCAATAATGCCCCATTACCTGGAAAGGCCTAGGCAAATGCTTTGTATTACCTCAGTATTATTGCTGTACATTGTCCTTTTTAAGATGCACACATTAAATAGTCTTATTATGGGGATTAATACTATCCCTTGAGGTAAATGGGGAGACTAGATCTAACATAAAATGTGTACTGGGAATTTTAAAGCTTTGAGTAGATACAGAAAATAACTTGTCTTTCATTTAATTAAACATACAATGTTAACCTTTTGACAAATAATTTCTGTTTTTATGTTAAATGAAGTGAGAATTTTGAAATTGGGTGTCTTTTGTTTTGATCATTTTCCTTTTTTTCCTTTTTTTTGTATTTTAGTATATTTTATTTATTTTTTATTTTATTATGTTATGTTATTTTAGTCATTAGTCACCATACAGTACATCATTAGTTTTTGATGTAGCATTCCACGATTCCTTGTTGGCATATAACACCCAGTGCTCCACGCAATCTGTGCCCTCCATGATACCCAGGCTTACCCATCCCCCCAACCCCCTCCCCTCTAAAACCCCTCAGGTTGTTTCCTGTAGTCCATAGTTTCCCATGGTTCTTCTCCCCCTCTGATTTCCCCCCTTCATTTTTCCCTTCCTTCTCCTAATGTCCTCCATGCTATTCCTTATGTTCCACAACTAAGTGAAATTATATGATAATTGTCTTTCTCTGCTTGACTTATTTCACTTCACATAATCACCTCCAGTTCCATTTTCACCCCACTGTCCTGCAAACCCTCCCCCACATCTCGCTGTTTTCATGTTGCTCCTAAGTGTCCTTCTCCTGCCCTCCCTCCTTATTTCCTTTTCTTTCCATCACTTTTGAGACCTTCTGTATTGTAGTGCTGCAATGAGGAAGGTAAGTGACACTAGATTCTTAGGTTCTAGAACTCAGTCTCATGGTGGATAAAACATACTAGCCAATAGTTACAAAATGTTGTGACCAAGGTTGGAGAGAGCCAGTTGGTAGAAAATAAGCTCTGCTTATATGACTTCCGCTCAAGATCATATGTACAGACCCTTTCACGGCGGGGAGAGAAGGAAGGGCGTGAGAAATGTGCAGTGAACAGACAAGGTTTATGGTGAGCCCGTCTGTGTTCCTGCTCACCTGCTCTGCCTGGTTGATTGTGCCACGTGCTGGAGACAGCGTGAAACACACAGGGACACGAGGACTCCGTGCCCTATCCAAGGCTTTGGAAAGACAAATGACAACTGCAGAGCAACTCCAGGTTGTAATAGGATAAAGCTGGAAGGAGTCTGGTGGTCATGTGGATCCCCAGAAGTAAAGTTCTTAAGATGTTAAAGGGAATAGAAAGTTAATCCTTCAGGAAAGAGAATGACTTTCAGACGGGCACACAGCACCTGATGTATAAGGAGAGTGTGTGTGTGTGCATGATTATACCATTAGTTGTTTATTATACCATTAGTTGGTATATACCATTATACCATTAGTTGTTTGCTTCAAAGATGGTGGAAACTGAGCATGTTTATACTCCAGAAACCATTTGAGAACGAGATAGGTGATGACTGTAGCGCGAGGCCCTCTTTCCAAAGGGAAGAAATGATTCAAGTACGCAGGTGGAGAGCAGTCCTGGGCAAAAGTGGGCTTTCCTGCTGAGACCGCAGGGAGAGTGTAAAAACCAGCTTCACTTTGGGGAGGCTGGGTGAAGCTGGGTGGCTTCTTTTGTGTTTGTTTAAAATATTTTCCCAGTCGTGTCTCAATACAACTGACATGTAAAACCTTATTAGCTTAAGGTATACATGATAATGACTTGGGAAATCGTTACCATGATAAATTTAATTAACATACATTACCTCATAGTTGATCTATTTTTCCATGAGAGCCTTTATCATCTACTCTCTTCGCAACTTTAAATATACAATGCAGTATTGTTAGCTATAGTCACCGCACTATACATTGCATCCCCGTGACTTACTATCTTAAAACTTTTCGACCCCCTTCATCTATTTATCCCACCCCCTACCCTCACCTCTGGCAACCATCAGCGTGTTCTCTGTTTCTATGAGTTTGTTTTTTGTTTGTTTTTAGATTTTGTATATAAATGAGGTTGTACAGTATTTTTCTTTCCCCATCTGACTTATGTTCACTGAGCTTAATGCCTAGAGGTCCATCCTATTGTTGCAAATGGCAGGATTTCTCTCTTTTTATGGCTGAATGATAGTCCACATATATACCACATTTTCTTTGTCCATTCATCTGCTAATAGATACTCAGGTTGCTCTCCGTATCTTGGTTATTATAAAAAATGCTGCAGTGAATGTGTGGGTGCTGATACTTCTTTGAGATTCTGATTTCCTCTCCTTCAGGCATATGCGTCCTTAAAAGTGGAATTGCTGGATCATACGGCTTGTCTATTTTGAGTTTTTTGAGGAACCTCCACACTGTTTTTCAGTGTCTGTACCAATTTCCATTCCCAGAATGGTATACAGGGTTCGCTTTTTCCCACATCCACACCCAGCATTTGTTATCTCTTGTCTAAGCATTCTAAGTGGTATGAAGTGACATCTCATTGTAGTTTGGATTTGCATCTCCCTGATGATGAGTGATGTTGAGCATTTTACCATGGCCTATAGGCCATTTGTATGTCTTCTTTGGAATGATGTTTATTCCATTCCTCTGGCCACTTTTTAAAATTTATTTCCATTGAGTTGTATGAGTTCTTTGGGTAGTTTGAATATTAACCCGAGTGCTTTATTTTATCCTTAAAGTAGAATCATGTGCAAAGAGAAGGGGACGAGGAGGACAGGCTGAGGAGAGGGGTAAAAAGTTTCAAACTAGCGCCAAAGAAAATGCGTACAGGCCCTTACTAGCAACCTTTGGAAAAATTAGGAAGAATTTTGGTCCTCATGTAGGACCCGTCAGTGTTGCAGTAGGAATCTGTGTGGTTATTGATTTACCTTTTATTATTCTTCTGGGAACACTTTCCTAGTCTTGACACTAGGAAAAAGTCAAACTGATCTGTTCTTCCAGTTGATGTGGAATGGTCCTGTCAGTTTCTCAGCTGTTTTGGTTTCCTTCACAGGCAAAAGGATAGAATAATAATAAAGATCTCCATCTCCCTCTTTATCTTCTTTCATATAATTTCTGAATTTCCTCTGGAACCCACTGTTGCTAGAAAGTATATGAATACTTTGTCTAAATTTACCACAATTACAAGGAAAATCCTTCCTACTCAGAAAAGTTGCTTCGAACTATCTCCTCCTAATTTGACTCTATGTACAAATATAACTAACTTTGATTGTTACACAACATTCTAATTGATTTTCCATAGCAAACACTTTCTATTAAAAAGATACCTTGGTTAAAAGATAGAAATCCCTTACTTAAAAAATAACTACCAAAGTCATAACCATTTAATGTTATTTTCAAAGCTTTTTCTAACTTTGAAAAGTTGAGTAAATCCAAAGAAAATGTAGCTAATTAAAATGTCTTTAGAGACAGTGCTATTAAATGAATTGGAAACATAACTTTGTGAACCACTTTTCTTAGTTAATTAGGTGTTAGAAAAGTTTCAGCACTGATTACATGTTTAATCAACTTCCTAAAATAATTCAGTGTTTTAAGTTAATTTAGTTAGGTTTCTGTGATATATGAAAGTATTCTCTGATCATTTAAGTTGGTTTAGATTTGCACATAAGATTACAGTAGCTCCATTAAAAAAATTGTTTTATTTAATGTCTTATAATGATTGTAGTTTTAACA